TCAATATTGGTATAACTTATGCCAAATTAATAAGACGAATGTGGACCAACGGCTGTTTCGTTTCCTATTAAAAGCCAAATATATAATGGAAAACGCCCCAGTTTAAATCTACTACTGGATAAATTTAATTTCCCTGCCAACCCATCATTATTATTTGTGGTCAGCCTAGTTCTGCATATGGGAATTATTGCTGGTAATGGAGATAGTCTCATGACAGACACAGGTCACAATAACAAATTTATAGCTATGTTATAGTATCCAGTCAGTTAACTTCTTTATTAAGTAAGATAAAATTTTCAGACTTTTGCTTTGATAATAGGCAATGCTTACACCCCAAATTTCTCTAAATAAAAAGCACTCGCCTGTCAAAATAACCCATAGACAAAAGTTTAATGCACTTAACACCCAAAACATATTCTCTTAGGAAATAAAATTTTAGACACTTTAATAAATCATACCTAAAATAACTTCAATGTATAACTTATGAAAATTGTTCATGGATTCATCACAAGTTCTGCTCACAACAAATGTTACAGGGAGAATGTTGGGGCGTTGTTAATGTATTTTGTGGAACTCAGGAACACAAAAAAACACACACAGCCGCCAGGTCTATTTCTGACTTTTTCAAAATCCTTCCAACATTATGTAAGTTTTATTATCACTTTAACCTTTCAAAAAGTTTATAAAGTGTGCTGAGATCTGAGCAACAATATTTAATTTACAGTTCTTCCATCAAAAACATATATAGTCAATTTAAAAATATATGTTATAATCTTTAAAAGGTCATTTACATTAATATCAGCATTTGTAAACGTAAATTGGCCATAGCTTCCTTATTTTATTAACTGGAGGGTTTCTTCTGGCATTTCTCTCTTTCTCTGATCAAATACTTAAAAGCTTTACGGAATATCACTTATGACCTTCAGCCCAAACTTCAAGTCTATAAGATATTCCTAAAGCAGATTTTTCAAGTTCATATCAAAGTTATCAAAACTTTTGAAAGATCTTTTCTAACCAGTGTTTTATTAATTGACGTGGGTAGGCAAGGAAAATTGTTGCGCATGATCTATGATCGCTTACTTTTAATTTTTCTCGTTCAGAACATTGGGTTTAAGATAAATATACTAATGACGTAATATCTATCTTAAACTTTTACAAGACAAATAAATTGAGGAAATTCTATTATCTCCACATGTTATCAAAGCTGAGAAGTTTTTACAGACTATTTACAGATTAACCAGCCTTATAGTTAAAAATCAGTTTACTCATCAGCTTGAACAAAGGAGGAACTTGCACAGATTAACGGAAAAAACAGACGATTTTAAGACTAGCATGAAGCCAAAAAAAAAATCCATCCCTACGTAATACTTTAAATGAATGAAATAGGCAGATTCTGTACTGCACATGTGAGACATTAGCTAATCAGCTCCGCCTAAAGAGGAAACAGACAGGCATCATATCCTATTATATTATACTATTTTGTATGTGAACACAAGAAAAGTTTATTTCCTGATTACAGAATTCCGTACTGTTTCTTAAACTATCTGGTCCTAGATAGAAAATCATTGTCTTCAAATTTTTTTTTTCAAATTTGAGAAAAATACATGTTTTATGTCTTTAACTGCTTGGCATAGAGACAGCTAGATACGTAAATCATTTCAAACAAATACCCAGACATGGATAAATCTACTCTCTACTATCAGATTTTTTGCTACAAATACAGTTAAGATTTACTTTTGCACCCATTTGATTAATAAACTTTATTTTTATCATGACAATAAGATTTTTTTCTGCAGTGAAAACTAATCCTTATTTAATAGAAGTTTTTAAATTAATTTACATACTTATCTCTGTTTTTTTCTAAAAAATTTTTAATTTAATGTTCGTCATTGATTTTATTTTGCATTTTCCAAAAAATAATTTGTATTTGCCATAACATAATTCTAAAAGGATAGTAATTGAAAGATTATCTTGGGATTTAAATTCACTGTCAGTATGGACGCTTAAGCTCGTTTTATATCAGTTTAAATGGATAGAAACTAGTATTATACAGGATTAAGTAAATGGTGTTTCCTCCCTCTATATTCTTGGTTAAAATGGTAAATTTTTGATTATACTAATACCTATTTTCCTGCCACAGATAACATGAGAGGCTTTCGATTCAGGATATTTAAATTAGTAGCACATGAAAAGTGAATTAACGATAATTGTATTACACAGGATAAAATTAGAGCACTCGACTGCCTTCAAGACAATATTGATTAGTTACGTCTTGTCATTATTAACAAATACTGCAAAGCAATCTCACAGAATATGGTGGTACCTGTAATGGTGTCCATTATAATACAAGATGAATGACAATATTGATAATATATTGCTTTTTTCCCTTCACCTGTTCAGGTTATTAATAAGACAAATTGTCTTCTATTTTCTTCTATAAATGTATTTCCGACTCTACTAGATTTAATCAATTTTATATATTTATTACTGTTAACACTGTTTTCTATTAAGGAAAGTATTATTTACATGCACAAAAATATAATAATTGAAATATAAGAACATTTTTTTTTCTTCTTAAATATTTAGAACAAGCAAGTTGACTGGATAAAGCCTGGCCCCATAATTTTCTGGGTAATGATTTATTTTTATCAAGCTTGTCCATTCTACTTTTAAAACAGTATATTTAGCTGCAATAACATACAATTTTTACAGTCTGTAAGTATCAGAGATGCACCAAATTTATTTAGTGGACAGGGCGTGCATGTAAATGATCCCTTGGCAGTTGGAATTTGACATAAGAATAGGCCATAATTTCCCTCATATCACACTGTACGGCGTATGCCCGTCTTCATTAGCCCTGTCAGAGCATAACAGTAGGATGTTAAACTCCATTTTATTTCATTTCATTTTTATTGCCCTGTTTTTTCCTTCATATTTTGTAATTGATATTTAGTCTTCAACAGCATTATTTGTAAAATGTTGTTAAAATGTGTACCAAACATGTCTGTGTTAAGACACCCCACACCAGGAGATAGTAATGAAAATAACCATTCTCTGCCTTCCTGTGTCTAATTGGAAATGACCTGATCGTAGGTGCAAGTGCATATTTCTTGTTTTTTTACTCCAGTCCCAGAAATCTGAAGGTCTCATGGAATGATAAATTCTTATTTTGTTCTCGTCTACATGTTTAATACTCTACAGAAAGACTTAAATATCATAAGGTCAGGATCCTACACATATGATATATGTATTCTATCATCTAGCTTCATGCATATAATGTACCACAAGAATCAAACAAGAATGCATTTGTCAATTTACAACAAGATCTAATCAAGTCCATGTGTAAGGTGATAGATGTAGGTAGTATAAGTAATGACTAGAAGTTAAAATAAACAGATGTAGTAGAGGTATAGATGGTTAACTAGCATGTAGAAACATCTCTTCAAATATTGAAACCATCATAAAACTATTCAATTTATAATTCATTTAGATGAAATGACAGTTTTCCCTTCATTCTGGTTTTGTGATAATGACTATGTACTAATGTCTCTAAGAGGGTTGTCTGAAAACAGTACAATAGACACAGTATGGAGCTACTTGTTATTATGGTGACATAGTATATAGATTGTTTTTCCTAAAAATGTTTTTGTGAATGTTATAAGTGAACTGTTAAATGGCAGTTTCAAAGCTAAAGATGCAGAGATGATTAGTTATGATTATTCTGACTAAAATTCAATTTACTGTACGATATTTGTCCTAACACAAATAGAAAGTGCGGCAAAGAAAATTATGCTTCTACACAGCAGCTGTTGTCACATCATCAATCCATTCATTAAAATCCATATTTTTCATATCTATTAAAGAGGATTTTAATTTAAGCTATGATGAATGACGTCCTTTTTTTAAGACCACATTTATAGTGCTCATGAAAGCTCACCAAAAATTAATTAAACCAATGCTGTATATTAGAATAACAGGACTAGGAGAAAAGCATTATTTTTAAGTAAATCATAATATTTCAACGTATATATACTGGGTAATCTAAAAAAAAAAATAAAACTTTTATCTAAAATCATCAATAATTTAAAACTATGTTAAATATTTAATTCCACTTTCACATTTGATAAATTTCTGTGACCCCATGTTTGGTAGTCTTTTATGTCTGTTTCAAACAAAACTTCAATTTTTAGTAATAACCAGCAGAAAAGTTGTAGATTTAAATTATGATGATATTAATCAAATAAAGACATCACATTCACAGTTCATTTCATTTTTTAAAAAAAATCAACAGTTCTATTGTTGGTGATAAATTTATGTGCTCTCATGTTTAGTAATCTAATGCCCTTTCAAAACAGAAATTCAGTTTTTATTAATAATATTCTTGATAAGATTGCACAAAAAGTTGTAGATTTCTTATCTTCCCAGAAAAATTCGTTGCTATTCCTAACCTGACTTCATTTGTAATTAGGCCAAAACGTTTTTGTGACAGTGGTAATATACGCTGCATATTTTGTTAGATTTATCACCTGCATCATGCATTCTATGACTTAAGATTTACAAAGCTAGGTTTATCCTGACCTGGTATTCATTGTAACTATTGGGAGGTCCTTAAATCATGTCTATCAAGCATAAGCCACCCATACATCATCTTTGAAATTGTTCCTACTTTTTGGTATTTCTATCAACATCTTTACATATGTAATCCCTGTTCAAGGTTTATTTTGTGTCATATTTTGACCCCAGTTGAACTCACTAAACACAAATCTGAAGCACTATGTTATGTATATAAAGACTGGATTCAAAGCCCTCAAGTTTCTATTTACAGGACACATTTGAAGAGCTTCTGAACCTTAGTCAAACTTTATACACATGGCTTTTAGGATTTTTAGATGAGGAACAAAAAGCTCTGTGTTGAATAAAAAGCACATGTATATGTAGTAAGTACCATGCCATAGAAAATCTACTAATCATAACTACAGATAACAACACACTAGTCTTACCTTTTTGATTTTTTGATGAATGAAGAGAGGAATCGTCTCTACAATTCAGTGTATCAAAGACAAGTCAGAGAATTTAAACAAAGTTCCCACCAAATGGTAGATCTCACTGGACGATGACTTTTACTCTCACACAAAGAAGCGTGTACACATGTTCTTTCAAAACTAACCCAAGAGTTAAGTAACAAGTAGCGAGCTTATGGAATTTAAACCAAAGTTCAGTACACGCCAGCTGTTTTCAGGCAAGTTAACACAATACCAATCTTGTAGATCTACTAGTCACACTAACTTAATCTTTTGTCTTGGAGAAAGATTTTTAAAGAGTCACTGCCTGGGTAGAGTTGCAGGCAGATCAAGATGTCTTTTCATGAAGATGGTAGGAGGGGAAAATACAGCATTCTGTTCCTCCAAGTCGGTTTCACCTCTAAAGTAAAGAATCATGTGGTGTGCTGGGGAAATCCTATACACAGACTAAACCATTTAGGCACCGAGGGGTGTTAGGTGGTGGAATAATCATACTATCAAGAGTTGTATCGACAATGGAAGCTTCTCTAAATCAATAGCCAGTAATCACTGCTATCAATTAGGTGGCTCTAGTTTCTATGGAGAGCTTCAGGTGGAATATTATCATAAAACATGACAATTATGGCAGGTGAAACCTAGCTACATGATTGGGGCAGACCAATGACGCAGTTTTTCCCAGATGGTAATGAGGGTAGTAGAATTATCAGACTAATTTGATAAAACTTACTTACAGCTGATAATTCAAACATGGTGAATTTACCATATGAACATTAATACCAATAAAAAATGCAAGTTCTTTTAAAATGTCAGACTTTCCTTTTACAACCTATGCTATTTATATTTTTGTCTAACTATATATATACCCACAATAGAATTTCAGCTGTAAACTTTAAAATGAAACGGCCGTTAACAGAATACAAAACTTATTCTCTCCAACTATGGATACATTAGGATTTTATGAAGAGCAAAAAAAACCCTGAACATAAAAATCCCATTAAAATCACTTCCCCTTCGAGTCTGAGTTATGTTAGCGGAAATAAAAGTAAAGGACAAAGAAAACAAACAATTATTATTCATGAATAACAAATATGGATCAAACGATTGATCTTAATTTTTATTATCTACCCTTTTTCAAAGTTTGATATAGGCAGCGTTTTCAAATGGATTTTTAATGGTTTTCTCTGTGAAGTCATTAATAATGACCAAGCATTAACCATGTATAAGCTTGACGTCTGCACATTATTCTGCGGCTGTTTCCACGGTTTTCATCAAGTTATTGATTCAACTCCAGTTAAACAAATTCACAGTTAACAACCCTGTTAATAGCTCTTATCATGCTGTCATTTTCAAATAATTTAGCTTTTCTAAAGCACTCCCCAGAAGGTCATTCCACCATCTTGACATTCATTTAGATGGCATGGAAGATGATATAATGGAACATGCACATAATAGCACAAAATATTATCTCTCCTTTTGTTATAATCTAAATAGAATTTCTACAAAAGTTAACTCATTATTATCTCATTAATATTTTCTAGGGTTATTTTTTTTCCAACTTAAATTAATTAATGTAACCATAATGAAAGACACCTGATTCAAGATAAGTGTTCTTTTCAATTACATTTAAGCATGTTAAATTGTTTCATATGCCTTGATGCCCATCTTATGGGCTAAGTGAACTGTCCTGGTTTAGGGAAAGAAACTGTTCCTTATATATAGGCCACAGTAGACAAATAATTTTTATATACAAAATCAAGTATACAGTGCATAGATACGAAACATAATATGCAGATTTGGGGTGGGGGGGATCAATGCTACATCCATAACCACAAAGATCTTAAAAATCTGAACCCCACAATTATTTTCAGACTGTTTGCTACAGAAATACATTATTAACATTCAGTTTGGCACATTTTTTGATTGACCATATTTAAAGTAAAAATATTTGGGTATAGTAAGTATCATGTTGATTAACACATATGGGATTAATAATATGACATGTACCATTAATACTAGGATAATGATAGCTTTAACTAATTATTATATAATATCGTCAAGGATTATTTATCAATGTAATTATCCTTCATTATTATATATAATACAGGTAAAGATCATGTTACTAGCATCTCCTACTGTGTTACTACATTAGTTTATATATCTATGTAGTATATCTCTAAATGTTATTCAACTCAAATAATCAAACTAACACAGTAATTAACTCAATCATGTATTATTTAGATGAGGATGCTCACTGATGAAGATGCTCAAATTTCTTCTCTTTGGATATAAATAATAAACTAAGAGATTTATGAACATATTTGATTCTATTTTTTACAAAAAATTAAAAGAAGTATAGTAAAATAAATTTAGTTGCCTATATAAATGAGTGATTGAGTTGTCTAGAAAGAGTAAGCATACCCCTCCTCATACCTGAAACCTGTCACTATTTATTGCAATGGTTTTGACATAGATTTCAGAACAAAAACCTTGTGTTTATATGAAGTAGTATTTAATATGTCTCACACTAGCCATTTTCATGGTTTGAAAAACAGACCTCTGTAGAAATTTGTATGGATTGATTCTGGAGGGCTGGATGGTCGAATGGTTAGCGCGTGCGCGTTGCATCATAAGGTCTGTCATTGAGTCAACTGGCATGGTTTCGATTCCTCGGTTGTACATGGCAAGGTGGAGGGTTGCCTGTCCAACATTATGGGTTTTCTCTGGGTCCTCTGGTTTCCTCCCCCTGCTAAAGACTCCTACGCACAAGCAAATTTTTGAAATAAAATAGAACCATACATTAGTCCTGAAATGACCAAGTTTCTGTCAGGTGGACTTCAACCCCTGCCCCTCTCTATCTCTTATGGATTGATTCTTGTAACCTGAGACAGCTTTTTTAGTCATAAATCGACCAACCAATCTTCTAATAACAAGTTATGAATGCAAACAACATCATTTGAAAACTGCAAGCAGATTGAAATACAATTTTCAAAATGGCACCATTTTATTGTGATTTCTTTAGATGAGATAACTGTCAGAGAACTTTTATCTAGCCCCAAGTTCACAAAGCATTCTCAGACTTCAGTTAAGAATTTACTCAAAATTGTTCACCTTATTTTAACTAAAATATAGCCCTTTTATGAAACTTTTGTTGTTTTAATGTATCAAATACATCAATAAAAAACTATGTGCAACGTTTTGAGTTTTTGGATGAAAGATATTTCTCATAAACAGTAATTGAAAGTTGAGTAAATTCTTAACCTGAGTCTGAGAATGCTTTGTGAACTCGGGGCTAGACAGCAATGTTTCCACCTACTCTTTATTAAGTTCTAACTGTCAAGGGTTCTTTCAAGATTACGCCAATGAGTACTCATTTGACCGGTATGAAAAGGTTCTTTTCTTTGCGAGATCCCCCTGTCCTGCATGCACTACTGACAAGGCAAACTAGGCTGGAAAATTGTAAGGCACTTTCTCTGCCAAAACTGAGGTAGAACCCAGGACCTCCTGGTTAGTGAGCCAATGTCATACCCACTGCGTAACCATGGTTCTAATTTCTTTCAAATATGAGAATACTGTGGTATACGAATTGGAATACAGTCTATATTTCACATGGAAATGATGATAACAGACAACCCTTTCACAACTAGATTCAATATTTACCTCAACTTTACACAAATTACTAGTATCGAAAGAATTACATACTATTACAAATTATATTATAATGATCGATGTTAAATGTCTTGTTAGCATGGTTTATTTCTTTTTTAGCATCCACCTAGACTTGTATATATCTTTAACCTTTAAACATGGCAGACAGCACAACCTGTAAACACATTTTAGATGTATACAAGCAAGGTTAAACTCAAAAGTTTTTGTAAAATATAAAACCCTATTTACATTTGTAAAGGTTTAATGTTTTTCTGCGAGCCTGTATGTCCGTCTGCCAGCTGTTGATCAGCTGATATCCATAAAGAATGAAATAACATTAATCAAGAAACATTAGATCAATTCACTAGTTATCTTAACTTTGGCGTAACAAGAAAAGGTTAGAAATTTACCATTGAGCTTTTGAGTTGAAAAATCCTACTGCTGAGGAGTTTCTGAACAATGACAGAGGCATATTATTTTTATAAGTGATTTCAGCTTGTGCATACCACTGATAATTATTAAATCCTAAAAAACATGTGTCTGAAGTATCAGCAGAACATCACACTGGTGAAAGAAAACATCAGAATCCAGCAGAAGCAATCAATTAGTAACAGAAACTTGTTGTCATTCCATCCAAAAAATGAAGTGTAAGAAGGTATTTAATAATGATAGAGTGTTTACAAATTAGGCCAAATGATAATGCCAAATGATTCAACTTATTTAGTAATAGGCGCATTCTTTTAGCAATATGTAATGACAATATTCTGGCTTTTTATTATAGACTAATTCGATTCACACTAAACATCTAAGAAATGTTTATGGTGTCCCTTGATTTTCAATTAAGTATAAGTATTTTTTTATGATAATCTTATCAAACAAATACCAACAATATTGTTTAGTTTATGTATATGTCATTCCACACCTCATAAGTCTTTGAAGTCCTGAGCAAAAAAGTCCTCTGGATTTCCCTCAACATCCTTTGCATGATTTCTGCCCCCCCAAAAGTAATGTGTCATGCACTCAATTGGAAAATTATGAAATGATTATCTAGTACTAGTAGAATCTGAATAACTTTTATCATATCTTCAGAATTCAGTTAATTATCACTTATACATATTAAATAGACTACTTGTATATGGTTTCGGGGTTTTTTCTTTCAAAAAATTGTTGCTTTAGTGTTGCACCAATTTGCCTGTACTTTTCTTCTCATTAATCGTACAAAATATAAGCATGAATAGATTAAGGCATACGTAACAACACTGGCACTTAAAAATCCAATAATTATATATTTATGCTAAACCAATCATAGGTAAGTTGATTCGATGCGATTCACATCTCATAGGCAACAATTACATCCTTTTATGACTTGTCAAACAATCCAGATAGCAACGTAACCATGATACTCTCAGACAAATTTTTTACTACTACACTCTACAACATTAAAGACCAACTCTTTAGTGAAGGGAAGTTATATCAACATACATGTTTTGTAACAGTGTAGAACTAATTCTACCAGATTATTTACTGGATATCGTCCAATTTCTAACTACTGTAAAGCTAAAGTGACATTTTTAAAGTAAAATCTTGAAGATAACTTCATGATACCTAGTTCTACAGAAGAGTACATATGTATAACTGTAGAGATCCTAAAATGATTAAGTGTGAGCATTCTTGATTCTGACAAATGGATTTACAACTCTTTTGAGTGGGAGTATATAAAGTGTTACTGAACACACACTAAAAGTCCTACTATTACAGTCCTACAAACAACACAGGTTTTGGCAAATCCAGTCAGATAAGGAATATCTTAGAGTAATTGTTAGCTGTCATCAACTGTCATGAACAATTACTGAAAACAACCTATTAACAATGATATTTCATATCAATTCCCCTTCTTTTGTTGACAAGAAATTCAACTTTTTGACCATACCAAAGAGTGTGATTTTCTGATTACCTTGACTGCAGTCTAATTACCTTTACC